CTATGTGGTGATGATGACCAGTTTTCTATCTCTGAACATTTTCCTAAACTCCCCATTTATACACCCTCAGTTTTACGTGACATCAGCACATCAGCACTTGTGGGTCTAATAGATATTTCAAACACTTGAGTCTAGAAAGGAGCTCTGGTGGTATAGTGCTTAAGGCATTTGACTGCTAACCAGAAGGCTGGTGGTTCAAATCCACCAGCCACTCCTCAGAAGGAAGATTGGACAATCCACTTCCGTAGTGATACTGCCTCGGAAACCCAAGGAGGGGTTGCTATGAGTTGGGTCCGACTCAACAGCAGTGAGTTTGGTTTTTTTGTTTTTTATGCGTCTAAAACAGAACTTTTGGGGCAATCTACTTCTGTAGTGATACTGCCTCAGAAACCCAAGGAGGGGTCACTATGAGTTGGGTCTGACTCAATGGCACATAACAACAACAAAAAAACAGAACTGATTTAAAATCTGTTCCCTTGCCACCCCTGTCCCCGCTTCCACCCCCACCCCCAAATCTACTGTTTTCATTTTCTGGTAACAGTGGTATATATACCAAGGTGAGACATTAAGGAAACAAATTGTCTGTGGAAAATTTAAAAAGTGCACAGATGCCCTCAGACCTCATACCTGTGACTGAAACTGCCATCTGAAAAGGGGATGAAGCCACTAGGCTGAATGAACCAGGCTAGCTGCAGGGAGAACCAAAGAGCCCCTGTAAGAGAGCAGAAACAGGCAAACTGCTGTGTGCTGGCCAGTAAGACCAGTCAGGGCTATAACAGTAAAATCTCCTAAGACCTGGGGCAGCAAAAAAAAAAAAAAAACTTCCCATGTTTAGCCATGGTCCAGCAACATTCAAAGGGCTCCACTGTCCTCTGCTGCCATCTATTGAGACCGATAAAAAGATAGTCTCAAAAACTATAAAGTGACACGCTGTTTAAAAATATTGTAGAAACAATTACTATGTATTTATTTTAAAACTTCGAGCCAAAAGGATAACTTTTTCATTTTATGACTGGAGTATGATTATGCTTTTTAAATGGAATAAAACCCCATATTTATTGATGGTATATGAAAAAGGAGCACTGTTGCTAAAAGAGATGAAAAATGACACTGTATTTGTCATTTGGTGTAAACTTGCCTGTGATCCCCAAGATAAAGATGTTGTGGAAACCATTAAAAAAAAAACAAACTAATTTTGGAGAAAAAATTCTAGTTGATTAACATGGAAGGGATATTAATGTCGTATTGAATCAACAGGAGCACAAATCCTAGTGGTCATACAGTGTATTTATTTGCCTTGTTCTAATATTAAAGATTTTGATACACATCATGGAGCCAACTTTTAACTATGGGTAAAAATAAATAAAACCCTTTGTCCTGCTACGGTATCTGCTACTCTAGAAGCCCTTGATAAAGGTGGTATATGTCAACATTAAACAGTACTGTTTCCAGTAAAATTACCCCTGACTTGTCAATTGTATCTCAACTCAAGGAACTATAAGTACCTGATGGGGACACTGCCTCACTTCCCTATAACTGTTACCACTGGCATCTGTGGTGACCCTGATGGCTATGTCTATAAGATTGTTATGAGAGATACTGGCTATGTGAGGCATGGGGCTTCTAACCAAGGTGGATCCTACACACACCACATCAGTCTTGTCTTCTTGCATCTGAGCTGTATCACCTGGGAAGAAGATAGTTTTTGGCTGGCTATTTCACTTGTCACTTATGTGTTGTTACCTTTATGTTGTTATTAGTTGCTGTTGACTCAGCTCTGACTCATGGCAACCTTGTGTATAACAGAATGGAACATTTCCTGGACCTGAGCCATCCTCATGATCATTTTTTAATATGAGTCTATTGTTGGGGCTACTAAGTCAATCCATGTCATTGAAGGATTCTTTTGTTTTCACTGACCCTCTACTTTACCAAACAAGGTGTGCTTTGCTAGCGATTGGTGTTTTCCTGCTAACATGTCCAAATTAAGTGAACTGAAGTCTTGCCTTCCTTGCTTCTAAGGAGCATTTTGGTTGTATTTCTTCTGAGACTGATTTGTTCGTTCTTCGCAAACACCACAGATTGAATGCATCAGTTCTTCTGCCTTCCTTTTTCATTGTCTAGCTTTTGTATGCATATGAATTAATAACTGCTACATAGACTCATCTGAATCTGCCCTGCTGGCAAGCTGTGACAGCTTATAGTCACAGGAATGTTTAATTGAGCCTAAGAAGACCCACTGTGGGTACAGCCCATTCTACATATTTTATTTTGTATTTGTTTATTATCTGTCTCCACACCATTAGACTATACACTCAATAAGAGCAGCAATTTTTGTCTGTTTTGTTTGCTGATACATCCTGAGTTCTAAATCAATTCTTGCCAATGCAGGTATAAATATTTGCCAGATAAACAAATTGTTCCTTCATTCTCATTATCCACGTCTTGTCTCAAATGTTACCTCCTCCAATCTTCTCTGATATCCTTATCTAATATTTTGAAAACATAGTCATGTTCACTTTCTATCACAATGACCTATTTTATTTTCTTTATAACATGTATTACTTTCTGAAATGACCAAACTTACCTACTTGTTTTCTTGCTAATTACAAATGTCCCTCAGTAGGATTTAAGTTCCATGAGAACTTTTTTTTAAATTTTATTGTGATTTGGGTGAAAGTTTACAGAGCAAATGCATCTTCATACAGCAGTTCATATACATTTTGTCTCATGACATTGACAGTAATCTCCCACAGTGCAATAGCTGTCCTCCCACTTCCTCCCCATAAACACCTCTTCCCTGTCTCCTTCCTTCCCATGTACTCCTGTCCCCCAAGCTATCTTCCTATGCATACACAGCCCTTCTGTTCTCCCATGATTGATCTCTCCAAGGAGTTTATCTCTCTAATAAATGTTCAGCTCATATGCCTGTCTTTTGTTTGGCTAAAAGTCACAGGAGTGAGTTCAATTTCAGAGCTGAAGGGCAGATAGGGGCCATAGTCTCAGGGGTTCCACCAGGCTTTATCAGACCACCAAGCCTGCTCCTTTTTTTTTTTTTTTTTTATGATTTTGAGTTTTGTTCCAAATTGTTCTCCTACTCTATCCAGGATCTCCTATATAGTTCCTCCTCTGAGTGCTTGACAGTGGTAGCCAGGCATCATCTAGTTCTTCTGGTCTCATAGTCATATAGGCTGAGGATTGCATGGTGTACCAGTCCCTTGGACTAATTGTTTTCACATGTCTTTGGTTTTCTTCATTCTTCTTCACTCTGGATGAGGGGAGACCTATTGTTGCATCTAGATGGCTGCTTGCAAGCTTTTAAGATCCCAGTTGCTACTTGCCACAGTCAGATGTCACAAAAAAAGCCAAACCAAACTCACTGCTGTCGAGTCAGCTCTGACCCATAGCAACCCCTCCTTGGGTTTCCAAGGCGATATCACTATGGAAGCCCAATCTTCTTTCTGAGGAGCAGCTGGTGGGTTTGAACCACTAGCCTTCTGGTTAGTAGAAACAATGTTTTTGTGTAGTATGTTATGCCAATTGAGCTTGATGTCCTCTGCGACCATGGTCCTGAGCCCACAGGTCCAACTACTTACTCCCTCTGTGTAGCTGGTTGTGGCCAAGAAGTAACTACATCCTTCTCCCTTGTCAGCTATACTATATACCTAGAAATTCTTACACAGCATACAAATACACTTGTAGAAACATTGTCTGCCAAACTATACATGGTCATGGGCACACTCCCCCCTGCATAGACTTACCTGATCATTCAGCTTACCCACCCATCTATCCACCCATAGATCAATGTTTGCCATCACTGACAATGCAGTGTTGTCTGTGCAAAAGGGTGCTTCTTTGTTGTCTGTACCTCTCTATGTCTTCCTCTTCCTCAATGCCACCGTGTTGATCATTCACATGTGGTACATTGTCCTTCTCTTCACCCAAATCGGTACTTGTCTCTACCTGTCTAGCAGTCTCAGAAGGAAGGTTGAGCAATCTACTTCCATAGTGATACTGTCTCGGAAACCCAAGGAGGGGTCGCTATGAGTGAGGTCCAACTCGATGGCAAATAACAACAACAACAACATCTAGCAGTGTTCCCTCCCCTCCCCTTCCAACCCTGGTTGCCAAAAAAAATTTCCTTCCATATATAAACCTTTCCTTGACTTTTTACAATAACGGACTAATACAATATTTGTCCTTCTGTGATTGTCTTAGTTTACTCAGCATAATGTCCTCCAAGTTAATCCATGTTATGTGATATCAATTCTTGATTGAATGTCAGATATAATATTTGCAAAATTGTTAGTGAAAACTTAAGACAAATTGTCACTGGTAAAAACAATTTGATACTTAAGACCATGTTATCATCCTCCAGAGAAGAAGAGAGTGCTCCAGTGTTTTCTATTATGGAGTACTATTTTAAAAGTATTATCCTGAGAGTAAAGATGTTTCTCTTTTCTAAAAAACATTCCAAAACAGAGTGGATGCAGGGAGAGGAATTAGGATGGTATTACGCTTGTGTGATACCCACTGTTTCCCTCCAAGTGCCTCATATTTGAATTTTGTAACTCTTCTTTCCTGCTTCTGCCTTGCTTCTGCCACTGTCTAATACACCACATATAGTCTAGATTTTATTCCCTCGTTGGAAACATGAAGAATTTTTTTATGTTTTTGGCTGGGACATCCCTTTGAGAATGTGATGAGAGCTATGGCCCCTCTCCCCAGAAAAATCTACCTGTGTACATGTAAACTTTTAGTTGCAGTCTCAAGGCCCCACCACAAAACCATCCCTAATAAATCTTGCTAAGAGACCAAGGACTCATTGGACAAGTTTAGCTCCAGAGTCTCATCCACTCAAATTTTAGCTTCATGAAGTTAAGGCCTGCCTTTTCACCACTGCATCTCAACACTTAGAATGGTGCCTTTCACATAGTAGGTACATAATGTTAAATGAATTAATAAATTGATATATGATACCTTATTTGTTTTGACTCCAGGTGATAATAATAGTGCCTTTCTATGACTGCTATGAGCCCATGGTGAGAATGGTTGGAGCAACACCTGTTTTTGTTCCTCTAAGATCTGTAAGTTTGCCAATATAGTTCACTTGCTTTGAGAAGTTTACAAAGTGTCACTTTGTCACTGTTTATGTAGAGAATTTTATTGCATTTTGGGATTTACTGTATATCTCTAGGAGCTCTGGTGGCATAGTACCTAAGACATTTGACTGCTAACCACAAGGCTGGCGGTTCAAACCCACCAGCCACTCCTTGGAAGGAAGATGGGACAATCTACTTCCATAGTGATACTGCCTCGGAAACCCAAGGAGGGGTTGCTATGAGTTGAAATCAACTCGACGGCAGTGAGTTATATATCTCTCCTACAAAAGTAATCCACAACTCGTGAAAGGTAGATTCTATTACTTTGTTATTTGTTTCTAAGTGCCTCTGTTCTGTCAATATCCATATACCAGTACTATGGTTTTGTGGCTGTGTATCTCTCTCCTCCACCAACTTATGGTCAACACCAGCTCAGAAACCTTTAATGACTTACCTTTATTGCACTACTCTTTATTGACTAATAGAGTGCTCAGTAAATGCTGAATTTTGAATGTAATGATTTTCCTCTTATTCTACTACTAACTTTAGGAACATAATAAAATATAATACCATTGTCTTCTTTAAAGTATTATCAAAATAACTAATACAATAAGGTGAATCACACAATCTTCCATTAGCCTTACAGTATCTGACAAGTTAACTATAGCTATACCTGGCCGCACATGTAAACTATTGTTATGTTATATTTGTTGTTAGCTGCCTTCAAGTCAGCTCATGACTCATGTGACCCCATGCACAATGGGATTGAACCATTGTGATTCATAGTGTTTTCATTGGCCAATTTTTTGGAAGTATAATTGCCATTGCTAATGTCAGATGGATCTTGGCTAAAAGTAGAGACTACCAGAAATGTGTTTACCTGTGTTTTATTTGTTTTGCAAAGGCATTTGGCTCTGTGTATCATAACAAGTTATGGATAATATTGTGAAGAATGGAAATTCCAGAACATTTAATTGTGCTAATGAGGAATCTGTACATGGATCATGGGGCAGTTATTCAAATAAAAGAAGGGGATACTGCGTGGATTACTTATTCAGTCTATATGCTGAGCAAATAATCTGAGAATCTAGACTATATGAAGACGAATACAGCATCAGGATCAGAGGAAGGCTAATTAACAATCTGTGATATGCAGATGACACAACTTTGCTTGCTGAAAGTGAAGAGGAAGTACTTACTGATGAAAATTGAAGACTTCAGCCTGTGGTATGGGTTACACCTCAATGTAAACCCACACAACTGGACCAATAAGCAATATCATGATAAATGGAGAAAATACTAAAGTTGTCAGTATTTCATTTTACTTCAATATGCAATCAACACCCATGGAAGCAGCAGTCAAGAAATCAATTTATTGAAACAAGATCTATACTTCACATCATACACAAAAACTAACTCCAGATGGATCAAAGACTTAAATGTTAAACCTAACACTATAAAATTCCTCAAGGAAAAATCAGGGGTAAATTTAGGGGCCCTAATTTATGGCATAAATAGACTGTCAAGCATAACCCAAAGTGCACAAACAGCAGAAAAGAAACTAGATGAATGGGACCTTCTAAAAATTAAAATTTTATGTGCTTCCAAAGACTTCTCCAAAAGAGTAAAAACAGAACCTACAGATTGGGAAAACATACTCAGTAATGACATATCTGACAAGGGACTTACCTCTAAAACTTATAGAAAACTCTAACACCTCAACGACAAAAAGACAAACGATCCAATTCAAAAATGGGCAGAAGGCATGAATAGACACTTCACCAAAGAGGATATTCAGGTGGCCAACAAACACATGAAAAAATGCTCACGTTCATTAGCCATTAGAGATGCAAATCAAAACAATAATCAGATACCATCTTCCCCAGCACTAGTAGCAAAGTTCAACAAGACAGAAAATAACTAATGCTGGCAAGGATGTGGAGAGATTGGAACTCATACACTGCTGATGGGACTGTAAAATGATACAACCACTGTGGAAAGCAGTATGACGATTCCTTAAAAGGTTGGAATTAGAAATACCATTTGACCTGCAATCCCATTACTTTGTATATATCTTAAAGAAGTGAGAGCCAGGACAAGATCAGATATATACACATCCATGTTCATCGCAACACTGTTTACAATAGCAAAAAGATGGAAACAACCTAAGTGTCCATCAGCAGAGGAATGGGTAAGAAAATTATGTACATAGACACAATGGAATACTATGCAACACTAAAGAATAATGTAGAATGTCCAAAACACTGCATAATGTGGATGAACTTAGAGGACATTATGCTGAATGTAATAAGTCAATCACAGAAGGACAAATATTGTATTAGTTCATT